AGGACAAGGGGAACGGAAGCGGCATGGGGACTAGACTCAGTCGACTCTTTGCTGCACCCTGCCTCTGGGATTTCAAGAGACTGTGATCCTCAGCAACTGAGGCGTATAACCCATTCCTGAACTCTTCACTTTGTGAAAGTTTTGTTCGCAAAAGCATCCGCTGCCGTGGTTGTCCCTTTCCACCCCCCCTCTCCACGGGTGGCGGGTCCACTTGTACTCCTGAAGGACGGCGAGGGCCCCAACTAACTCCCACTGTCGGGCCCAACAGAAATCGTTGGCGGGGGGTACCATCAGGGCACCACAGCTCCGTGTTTTTTTTTTTGTTTTCCACCTGTGCCCTGTGCCTGCTTTGTCTTTTCTTCGGGAGGGTTCTTCCGCGTCGCGCGCAGAGATGTTTTCCTGCTGCGGATGTCGTTACAGGGCTGTAAAGCACAAGTACATAGCAGCGCGTTCGGACACATAGCAGTTCGCTGTCACTTTTTTGGGCCTTTTTGCCAGGAAGCGTGTCGTCGGTACACCGGTCGGCCAAAATGCACAAAATGCAAAAACCATGTTCTAGCAAATGCACAAAATGCAAAACGACAGACACAATAGTGTTGCCGTGACAGACAAAACGTTGTGGCAGAGTACCTTTCCATGTTCTAGCAAAGATTCATTCTCATTTCACACATATGGGCCGGGCATTTGTTGGCAGCAGCCGCAGCACATGAATCCCGTTGGGCCTTGGCTGCCGCACTCACCAAATGTGCAAAAGTGGCAAGGGCCAAATCATCCTGTCTTTTCGTATTACGTGTTTTTTTTTTTTTTTTTCTCTGACATGTCTACATTCTTTTTCTTCTTTGGGGGCGTGGGTAAGCGAGTGTCGGTCCCATCCTCGCCGTCCTGAGGACTGAGTTCTGCCTGAGCTTGCCCGTGTGCGTTTTTCCTTTGGGGTGGGGGGTGGTCAGGAGGGTGGCCAGGTGTTTCACACGGGCGTAGCCTGCGGGGTCCGCTTGTCATCTTAAAAACAGGAATGCTTCATCAGGTCGTTCGGCTCATGGGTAGCATGACAAGTCGTTTGTGCACAGAGCCATAGTGCAGGTCGGTCGGCTCATGGGTAGCATGTGCACAGATCCCTCCATCTTTAAAACAGCAGGAGTGCTTCATCAGGTCGTTTGTCTCATGCATGGCGTGCCAGCCCGTATGTTAAGGAACAGCAGTCAATTCAATGGCAAGAGGTATACGCTGATGGATGGCGTGACATGCCGTCTGTGCACGGAGCCATAGCGCAGCACGCTACGAGTCATTATTTGAAGACAGTCACACACAGACAGAAAAGAATTCTGATTATGAAAACAATCTTCATAGTCGGAACTCTTTCTGTGTGTGACTGTCTTCAAATCTTCCAGAAGATTGTATAATGACTGAAGATTTTCCAGAAGATACTGAAGATTTCAGCGCAGTTGAAACTGAAGAGATTGTTTTCATAGCTCCAGAAGATCCTTCAGCCATTACCGCAGTGCGATTGTGCCATTTTCCAGCGCATAAAACAGTGCGATTTTCCAGCGCGTAAAACAATCCTCAGTATCTTTCCAGATGATCCAAAATCTCAAATTAGGAATGGCAATGCTACCTTGGGCAGAAGAGCAGAGAGTGTGGCCGCCTTGCTCTTAAGTAAACAGGATTCGTGAGTTTCATGTCAAGCAGAGCGGTCGGACTCTCTGCTTTTGACAAACAGAGTACCATGCACCATTTCCCCAGAGCACCTGCTGGACTCCTCGACTAGCAGAGCACCCTACACCGATTAAAAAGTACACAGCTCCTTGAGACAAAAGTTCAGAGGGAGCAATTTTGCATGGGGTATACCTGCACCATATTTTTGCACGCAACACAGCATGGGAGACCACTGAGTTATGGAGGTTCCAAAGTCCTCTACCGAGATGCTTTCCACACAGACACACTGTGTGTGTGTGTCGGTCGGTCGGTCGGTCGAGAGAGAGAGAGAGAGAGAGAGAGAGAGAGAGAGAGAGAG